TTAAGACACCAATTTCTCAATGCCAAATTTTCTACTATATAATCCTAATGAATCCCAATTTGCATTTGAACTCCACATATGGTGACCTGCTGCCTAATCCTTCTGCCTACAAACGATTGCTAGGAAGACTCATGTTCATTTGTATTTCTCGACTTGATATCTATTTTGCTATCAACAAGCTCAACCAGTTCATGAACCAGCCTCAAACACCGCATTTTCTTGTAGTTAATCAGATTCTCCACTACTCGAAGGGCCACTCCTGGCCAAGGGCTTCTTTTTTCTTCCCAATCCAATTTTACTCTCATGCTTATGTGGTTGCTGATTGGGTCAGTTTTTTGGATAGCAGAAAATCCACTACCAATTTTTGTATCTTCATAGTGATTCTTTCTTTATTTGAAAATCAAAATAATAACCTATCATTTCCACATCTTCAACAAAAGCTCGAGTTAGTTTGGCTCAAGCAACTAACCACAATGGTTTTTTTTGTGTGATAACGTTTATGCTATCCATATCCTCCGATCATGTTTCACATCAAAGGTCTAAACACATAGACAATGATATCCATTTTGTGAGAAAATATATTGAATCTGATTTCTTAAAACTTAACCACGTTAAATCACATTAGCAAGTTGTAACTCTGGTCATCAAGTTGACTCTCAAAAAAATATTTGTTCCAACTTGAGGGTTTACCATTCTATCCTATTTTGTTATTTTATATTTTTCAATATTTAAACTCACTTTACAAGCTTCTCTACAAAAAAACTCACCTTATAAACTTATCTTTTCTTTTTTTTGTCTAATTTTCTCCATTTTAATATTTTTCTCTCTTAATCTATTGAGAGGTCTTTTAATATAAAATCGAAACACTCTTATTTTTTTATAAAATAATAATAATAGAAAACATTCCAACAATTATTTCTCGCGAATTTCTTTTATATAAAATCTGGCATGAAAAGATATGATAAACTACTTTTACCAAGATAAAAATAGATATTTTACTAAGCAATATACATTAATACTTTTATTAAATATTTCACGTCAAAACAAATTAATGATTTTGATAATAATTTCATAAATACTCTCCATTAAATAAAAAATTTAATCCTTAATAATTATAATTATCATGATTCATTAATCTCATTATCATATATATAAAACCTTTTTTTATTTTCATCAAATATTTTTAAATTATTCTTATATAGATTTATTCGTTAAAGAGAAGACAAATCATCTCTCTATTTATTTTATTGAATATGTACGTAGTTGAGTATCTCAATTAATTATTTATTTTATCTAATTATTAGGTTGAAGTAGCCACACAAACACAAAAAATTGTATTTTTTATTCACCTTAAATTATATTCTTTATTCATCTTATAAACTCACATCTTGGAGAATATAAAAGTCTTATATTCATTGATGGATGGAAATGATATTATAATAAAAGAAAATATTCTTGATTAAATAAAAGAAAAGTTAAATTTGTTCCTTTCGCATCATATTTAGATGATTTTATTAAAAAACATTAAAATCTTATATTAAACACAATAAAAAAAAGTGTAGATGGTTCCATGATTCTTCCAAACGTTGCATGAATAATAAACTCGTGAATTTGTTATCTTTATTCTTGTTTATGTTCGTGCTTCTCGTTGTTTTAAAAGTTAAAATTCTTTCACACTTCTTGGAAGTTGTGAAGACAATGTTGCCAACTGCATTTTTTTTTCTTTATTTAAACAAAAAATAAATATTCATCTCTTATTTTCATAGCTATTCATAAAACCATATTAAAATAAATTAAAGAACAAACTATAAACCTATTATAATTCATTTTCATAGATTTTTCAAAACCCTTAAACTATTGCAAATAAACTCATTCATACTGATAAGTTAATTGGTTTAAGAGAAAAGTAATGTATGGAGCCAAAATTCCCTTGCCTCTTTAATCTTTTTATGTATTATTATTATTATTATTATTATTATTATTATTATTATTTTAAATTCCATTACTCTTAAGAGTGTAATATCATAAATGCTATTTTTTTAAATTTTGAAAATTTATAATTTAAACCAAAACAACAAATAGAAAATAAAGGTTAATTCAGACATCAATTTGGTCCAACTAAGTGTGGATGTTTATCGATAGAAAATAAAAATCTTACTTTTACAAATGGGAACAAAATATTTGTGTTTGAATATGTGAACTTATGACCAACATATCACCAAAATAATAAACATGACTCACATTGATTATAAAAAGATTGTGAATACAATCTTAAAGTGATATCATTACAACAATTAAGATGATAATATTGTATAAATGATGAATCATATAAATAATAATAAATGTTTAATTAACATATTATTATTATGAAAACATGTACTATATATTCAAATATCTCAAATATCTCTATTGGGTGACATTAATTAGTTATACCTGATTATATTTTTTTTAATAGAAATCTAGGCAATCAATGCTTCATTTTGGGAAAGTTTCAACAAGAACCTAATTAATAATATTAATTAGTCAATTGATTACATTGTTTTTTTTTTTAACTTTTAGTCTTTTATAAATCAATAATGTTGTTACTATATAATTAAACAATTGAGTGAAATTTTTTATTTTTTTAAATTAATGATTTAATTATAAAAGAAATTACTAATAAGAAAAATTATATATTGTGGTTAAATCCCTAATTGACTGTAGTAAAAAAGTTATCTTTACAATTGAATTAGATGTTAATCATTATATTGAAGAGAGAAAATAATATATTATTAATAAATATTAAATAAAAAATAAAAGATTAAATTCATAAATATATTAATAAATATATTTTATAATCATTAAATTTAGAGACTAAAATTATAAATATATATATAAATTACAAAATTTTAAGATAATGACTCTGCACCTTCCAAAAGCTCTATCACTAATTGTAACAACGTTTTTCAGCTTTTAAAATAAAGATGTAAATATTTTTACTGTTCTCATTTTTTATTGGTATATTTAGAATTTTTTTCTTAAAATGTCATATGTTTATAATTATTTATTTAAACTAAGTATGTGTGTATTTTGTATAAGTTTATTAAATTAATTGTTTACGAAATTCAAAACCTTTTTTCTATTTTAAATTAATGTACCCACAAAACCTTTTTTCTTAAAATGTCATATGTAACAATAATGGATAAAAAAACTGTCATATTTTACCGAGAAAATAATGATGCAGCTAAAAATGCTTCTTGACAAAACAATGAAAGGAAAAGAACTTGGTAATTAGGATGACAAAACGGGTCAGCCTGCCCGCTTTGGCCCGTCTCGCTTTTGGCCCGCCAAAAGTGAAGCGGAAGAGCTGACTCGATATAGTCATGGCGGATCGTAGACCTGGTCTACTCCGCCATGAGGCGGGTTGGCGGGTGCCATAATTTAGAAAAAATAATTTTTTTTAATAAATTTAATAATAAGATTATTATTTGTTTGTCAATAATTCAATATATATATATATATATATTATTTCAATTTAATAATATAAATCAATACATTATTTTAAGAAATTATAATTTAGAACAATAATAAAATTTACATAATAATAAATAATAACAATATATATATATATATATATATATATATATATAAATAACGTTAAACTTATAAAATTTATATTTTTTATATTGAAAAATTTAAATACCTATATCTTTTTTATTTGATAAAACTTCATATTATTCTTGGTTGAGTAATTCTTATACCTTTAATTCAAGTAATAAGGAAAAATATAATCGGTGTTTAGGATAAATAAGGAGAACAGGAGAGAAGGTTATATTTCGGGAAGGAGAATATTTTATGTGAAAATGAAACTTTTTTAATTCTCTTTTTAAAATGGTTAACTTTATATATTATCTTTATAATTAATTTTATTACAATAAAAAATTATTTTTTTATTAATTAGGCGGGCCGCGGCTAGCCCGCCCGTCTCGTGGGTTGGCTCGATGGGTTGATGGGTTTGGCGGAGCGGACAAAAACGGGCTGGTAGACCGAAAACAACTCCGTTTTGCCATCCTAGTGGTAATCTAAAATATATAAAAGAATGATATTACCAATCCTTTTGCATTTATCGCTAAATTTTCTTAGAATTTGAATCATTTCTCAATCAATACCGACAAGGAAAAATATACCTTCCTAGAAAGGATAAAAAAAAGCAAGAGAACAATAAAATAAAATCCGAAACTTCAAACAAAAAAAATATTATTATCATTATTATTATAATATCTATTTATTAATTATGTTATAAACTCTCCTATAGGGAAACTAAAAATTACATTAATTATATATATATATATATATATATATATATATATATATAAATAAAATTATAGTTTAATGCTCGTACATGTACACCATCAATATAAAAGAAATACTATTATATAAAAAAATTCAATTTTTTCCCCATATTCTTTATATTTTACATCTCTCTCTCTCTCTCTCTCTATATATATATATATATATATATTTATATATATATTAATTGTTCACACTATAGTAGTGGTAATAACATTCTTTAAAATAAAAAGTTACAAAGTGAGAAAATATTAAAAAAATAAATCATGAATCATGAGTCTTTCAAGAACATTTAAAAGAAAAAGAGCGTAACTGACTACCATAAAAACTTATGCTAGAATATTTACCAAACCAATAACATTGACATGATGGTAATTAATGTGGAAAACTTCCAGGAATCACGAACAAAGTCTTTCCATGAGTTCTGCTACGAAACTTCGTAGAAACAACTCAGAAATTTACTTCCTCTGCATCAAGGTTGTCTGATGACACACTATTTATGTTCTGTTTCTGATTCATTTTAGTCCCAGCATGTCACATCAAACCTTGCCCCAAATTTTCTCTGTTGCCTCCTTGTCCTTCCAGTTCCAAAAAAATTCAGAGTTGTTTCAACTCACTCAAGTCCTATCCATATTGTTTTTGTTTTTTTTGTTTCTTGACCATATCTTATCATGGTGAGACCAGAGAGTACGTACCCCGTCACATGCAAGAAAAGGTGGCGAATGGCTTTCACAGCCATTTCCTTCGTTAAGGCCCTTCACCATCTCTCCAAGAAAGCTCTCCATATCAACCCCCCAACCCTTTTCCGTTCCTTTTCTTACCTTGCCATTGACGTTGCTCCTCCTCACGTGCCTTCCTCACGTGACAAACCCTTCAACGTTGACCCTAAATTGCTCAGTGACATGGTAAGGGAGAAGATGCTCGAGTCTCTCACCCAATTTGGAGGTGTCAAAGAACTCGCTGCACTTCTTGAAACCGATCTCAAGCGTGGTATAAGTGACGACAACGATGACATTGATCACCGAAAACGCGTCTTCGGTGTCAACGTTTTCACGGAGCCTCCATCCAAAGGTTTTCTTTCTTTTGTCCTTGAAGCTTTTCAGGATACCACTATCATCATCCTTTTGGTTTGCGCCGTGCTTTCCCTTGGCTTTGGAATCAAGCAACACGGGTGGAAGGTTGGGTGGTACGATGGAGGAAGCATCATAATTGCGGTTATTCTCGTTATTGTCGTGTCTTCCGTGAGTAACTTCAACCAATCTAGACAGTTCAAGAAGCTTTCTGCGAAGAGTGGAAACATAGGAGTTGAAGTGGTACGAGGTGGTCGGCGCCAGAGCGTGTCGATCTTTGAGGTAGTGGTGGGTGACATTGTTTACTTGAAGATTGGTGATCAGGTTCCTGCGGATGGGTTGTTTTTGGAGGGGCATTCGTTGAAAGTGGACGAGTCCAGCATGACGGGGGAGAGTGTTCACGTGCATGTGAATGGTGACATGAACCCTTTCTTGTTATCTGGCACGAAGGTCACTGATGGTTCTGCAGACATGCTTGTTACTTCTGTGGGTATGAACACTGCTTGGGGTGCAATGATGGGTTCAATCACGAGAGAGCTTGATGAGGAGACACCTTTGCAAGTGCGTCTCAACAAATTGACTTCAGCAATTGGTAAGGTTGGATTGTTGGTGGCTGCACTTGTTTTGGTGGTGTCTATGATACGTTACTTCACGGGAAGTACTAGAGATGATTTTGGGAACCGGGAATTCGTTGGGAAAACGACAAAGTTTGATGATGTTATGAATGCGGTTGTGGGGATTGTTGCTGCGGCTGTGACGATTGTGGTGGTGGCCATTCCAGAAGGGTTGCCACTGGCTGTTACTCTGACTTTGGCTTATTCCATGAAGAAAATGATGAGGGATAATGCCATGGTTAGGAAGATATCAGCTTGTGAGACAATGGGGTCGGCAACAATAATCTGCACTGATAAAACTGGTACTCTTACAATGAATGAGATGAAGGTGACTGAAGTGTGCGTGGGGAAAAAGATAATAACAGAAGGTGGGTATTTGGCGCCGAGTTTAGTCCAATTATTGAAAGAAGGAATAGGATTGAATACCACTGGAAGTGTTTACCAGCCCCTACAAACCTCTTTGGCAGAAATTTCAGGTAGTCCAACTGAGAAAGCGTTGCTTTCTTGGGCTGTGGTGGATTTGGGGATGTACATTGATGAAATGAAGCAGCATTGTGAAATCATTCATGTGGAGACGTTTAACTCTGAGAAAAAGAGAAGTGGGATTTTGATGAGGGAGAAGAGAGGAAGCAACAGGGTGCACACACACTGGAAGGGTGCTGCTGAGATGATATTGGCCATGTGTTCAAATTACTATGACCATACAGGGGAAATCATGATCATGGGTGATGAAGAAAGGGTTCAAATAGAGAACATGGTCAAAGGCATGGCTACCAAAAGTTTGCGATGCATTGCCTTTGCCCAAAAGAGTTCCAACGGGCAGGTCTATGAAAACATTGAAAAGCTTGAAGAGTCGGGACTAACATTGTTGGGGATACTTGGATTGAAAGACCCTTGTAGGCCTGGAGTTCAAGCAGCAGTTGAATCCTGCAAGAAAGCGGGAGTGAAGATCAAGATGATCACTGGAGATAATGTGCACACAGCAAGGGCCATAGCCTCTGAATGCGGGATTCTTGACCCTAATGATGAACTCGATGAAGAAGCAGTTGTTGAAGGCTTCCAATTCAGAAATTACTCACCTGTGGAGAGAATGGATAAAATTGATAGAATCAGAGTCATGGCCAGATCATCTCCATTTGACAAACTTCTGATGGTTCAATGTTTAAAGCATAAGGGTCACGTGGTGGCAGTCACAGGTGATGGCACAAACGACGCACCTGCTCTGAAGGAAGCTGATATTGGACTCTCCATGGGATTGCAGGGCACTGAAGTGGCAAAGGAGAGCTCAGACATTGTTATTCTTGATGACAATTTCTCTTCTGTGGTCACAGTACTACGATGGGGAAGATGTGTGTACACAAACATCCAGAAGTTCATTCAGTTTCAGCTCACAGTTAACATCGCTGCACTTGTCATAAATTTTGTAGCCGCAGTTTCTTCTGGAAAAGTGCCCCTTACAGCTGTCCAGCTTTTGTGGGTTAACCTGATCATGGATACTCTTGGAGCCTTGGCCTTGGCCACTGAGCTACCCACCAAGGATCTCATGAAGAAGCCACCTGTAGGGAGAGTTGAGCCACTTATAACCAGAGTTATGTGGAGGAACCTCATTTCTCAAGCATTATATCAAGTGCTTGTATTGTTGATTTTGGAATTCAAGGGAAGATCAATCTTTGATGTCAGTGAGAAGGTGAAGAACACCCTTATTTTCAATGCTTTTGTCCTCTGCCAGGTATTCAATGAGTTCAATGCGAGGAAGCTGGAGAAGAAGAACATCTTTGAGGGGCTTGGTAAAAATAAGTTGTTCATAGTAATTGTGGGCCTAACTGTGGCCCTTCAGATAGTGTTGGTGGAGTTTCTGAGGAAGTTTGCAACCACTGAGAGATTGACTTGGGAGCAATGGGGTGTTTGTGTCGGCATTGGAGTTTTGTCTTGGCCAATTGGTGTGCTTGTGAAGTGCATCCCAGTTGGTCCGAACAATTTCGTAGAGAAGACTATCCTTCATGCAAGATCTTCAATTTAGGTTTCATTAGTTTTGCTTTCGCATAGCACATTGCAGTGACCTAAACATTAGCACAATGCACCTTTCATAGTTTTCTTTGTACAGTGCTCTAAACATTAGAACACCCTTTGCTTCTACATGTTTCTTTTCCCTAATGATCAAATATCATGCTATAGCATGTGTTTTGCCATTTGCCATCACTGATTTTACTTTATCAAAGCTACTCCATTCTTCTAGACTTTAACAAATTATTGAATATAATTAAAAAATAAGAAACACCTTATGTAAACTTGAGAGTACGAATAGAGTAAATTAAGTATATATTCATTTCTAATCCACATTTTCTAATATGGACAATAAGGTAACGGGACATGAAAATAAAAAGCTCTATAAACAAGTTGATGACTGTTTTAAGGGCTCTTTCTCTCCGATTACGTTTTCTTTCTGGATGTGCACTTGCTTTTATGTTTATTATCACTTTGTGCTTTCTGGACTATTACGCTTGTATGCTAGTTTCTGTTTGTGCAACATGATTATGCATGCTTCCATGATTGCTTTGACAAATGGTCGTTGATTTTGTTTGGGGTTTAGTTATTCATAATAATTATAAATTATTATTATTTAATACTTTAAAATTAAATTTTATATAATTAATATTTATGTTTTTGTAATTGAAATTTATAACAAACTCTTGCTGTGATCGTTTATTTTCCTAACTCAAAGCACAATTCTCGTAGCCTTTAGAATACAACTTGAAGATAAGAAACGGACAAAGTTACATGAGAATATTTTTCAACAATATTTTGAGTTGAGATAAAAAAAACGAAGATATTTAGAAAATATATATGTCCATAGTGGGACATTAAAATAAAGGGAGGTTATAGACCAAGTGGAAGTGAATAATACTTTGATATCATCAATATTATTTCCACCGAATAAAAACCATGTATAGAAAAACTGATGTCTTTGGATTTCCATCATAAACATGAGTGTCATCATTCTAATTTTTTCTGAATCAAAGTAGTTAAAAGCTTGGAAGTTACTCTAGCAGCTTTTGTTCAATGTTGTTCAATTTGTCAAGATTAAAACCAAACATAAACTCAAGCGATGACTACGGGTTTAGTTGGCAAAAATGATTGAATAGAGTTTTAGTATATGATTATAATTGAGCATTTGTATTCCAATACAAAAGCGAGTTACTTAAATGGATGTTTAACCGAATTGCTTATATTAAATATTTTTGTAGAACTAATCCATATGTTACGTTAGTTGTTTAAAAATCATATTATTATTATTATTATTATTATCATATGCTATTTAGAGTAAAATGTAGAAGGGTTACTAAAATATAAAGCGAAATAGTAAAATGAAAGTGGGTTGCTTAAGTGAAAACCATTAAAACACCCCATGAAGCAACCATTGAGTTTTTATATTCAACATTTTATAATATGTTTATCATTTTTCCTAAAATACATTTCTTATTTCTTTAATCAACTCAATCAATTTTTCTTCTGACAATGTATCTTTTATTCTTAATTTCAATTTAATATATATATATATATATATTTTTTTTTTTCTTTTGTCGATAAACAATTTGCGCTACAACTATTGACTAGTTTAGGAGAAAGTGTATCAGCAATGATAAAATTTAGAATACATTTGTGCTGTCATCAGCTATTGAATAAAGTGAGCGATGCTTAATAATCTTATTTATTTTTACAAAAATAAAAACATCAACAGCATAATATATAAAATAAAAGGATACCCACCTTTCAACTAGAGGTGTAGTTTGATGAATATATACCTCTAACCTACCACAGGTACAAGAAATAATTTTAAATCTTCCAACTACAAGACAACAAACCAAATTTCACATAACTCACCTGAGAAACGTTGAGTTCAGAGATATATGCTAACTCACTTCTTTTCAAGGTAGTTTGAATATATATATCTCTTTACACAATCCATTTGATTTTCGTAGCACACGGCCCAGACAGCGTACAGATCACACTATTTAAGAGAAGCCTTTTGGACCAAAAAAATGCAAAGGGAGGAGGAAGGGGGAAGACAAAACTAAAAGAAGGCACCACCAGATTATAAACTTGCATCTTTCAACTAGTAACTTCAGTTGGAGGTTCAGCTAATAAAATATCAAACAAATAGAAAAACAGAAAAATATATTAGAACGTATTTGACAAGACAAACACGCTCAAGTTCTTTGTAATAGTTGTCCAAGTCGTCTACAATGAAACGTAGAAACTGAACCTGGTCATTGTCAACGTTGTAATGACCAAGTCAACACCAAGGAGTACAAATGCTCATATGATGATCAAATTAAAGGTAAATTCAGCAAATGCAAATTATATAGCAGCCTAAAATCAATCGCCATGGATAGTATAACGTTCCCATTTCTTTGTTGGATCATATATCTGCAATAAAGGGAGCAAATAATGGTAACCAGAATCAAAACATAAGAAGGACACTGCAACACGTCAAATGCAATCTTATCTGACAGACTGTAAAATTAACTAGCCAGTTAAGAATATCCTATGAATTAGAAATTTATCAAATATCGGTAGCTGAGCCAAGAGGAGGAAGAAAGACCAACTCATGCACTATGTGCACATGAGAGACAGAGAGAGTGAGTACCTCCCATCTTGAAGCAGGAAATATATGCTTGTTCTTTTCATACCAGTGCCGTTCTACAACCTTCCCAGCATGAGACTGTCGGTTGAAACAAGATTACCAAAACCCATGATTGGGATTAGAACACCATAAGAGAAGTTATTAGAACACCAAAAGATCAGCAGTAAAAATTGTTAATATTTTATACCTCGTCCTTCTCTATAGTGGCATCAGCAATAGTTCGTACATCCTCATGCACATCAAAATGAAAAAGCTGTAGAGATATACACTCGTAACATTAATATCGCAAATTAATATCAAGCTAATGGGGGACACTTTCAAGTTTATGACAGCATGCAAATGTATTTCGGCATACTTCAGATGATACACAAAATTGAAGCAGCAGCAATATAACAACTACAACAACATTATAGTATTATCACAAGAAAAAAAGCCAACCTAATTTCCCATATTTACTGTCAATGTTTTACCATCAGAATAAATTCTCTTTGAATCAATTTACATCTATTAAAAAAACAGAGGAATTCAAACCGGTCATGAGAACTAAATGCAGAAGGGTTATTACTCAATTTTCTTTTCTGACTTAAAATCTCTATTTGAAGTAGTCAAATCTAACATATTTAATTAGACATCATTGCCAGCCATAAGGATTAAAAGGAAATAAACAGAGCCATGCAATTTAAACTTGGAATTATAATCAATACATGATTTGTCACTCTTGTAAGATTTTTTGCTTATTTTCCAACTCCTTTTGTCCAAATATTCACGTAGCTATGAATGCATTCTTCCTTGTTCAAATAATGTAATTGATCCAATAAGCAGAATGTTAAAACTATAATACTGATATTTCCTGTCAAACAATTTACACTGGAATAAATAGGGAATTATTTTAGGGGTGACAAAATAGATTAGGCCAAGACAACCAATCTCAAAAATGATGGGTTGATAATTTTAACCCGTTTTGATCTGTTCTGCATAGCTTGCCAACTCAGCAAATTAGGGACAGAACACAGCAAACCGCTTTTAAGAAAATATTTATATATTAAAATTAAAATAAAAAATTATATCTTTTGTATTATTTTATTAAAATATGTAAATATACTATAATAATATAACTTAAATTATAAAAATTAATCAATTAAGTTTAAATTATTGATTATTATTAATTATTTTAACATATAAATATAATAATTTTTTAATTTATCTAATAAAAATATTAATTAATAAAAATATAAAAATTATTCATATAATTAAAGATATATTTAAAAAATACATATAAAAAAAGTTTACTTAAAAAGATTATTGACAAATTAGCCCACTAGTCCGTCACCCACCCTTTGGTGAGGTAGTTCTGACTATGAGGTGAGGTAGTACTTTTTGTGGGCTAGAGGCGCGACGGATTAAAACGGGATGAACTAACCCATTTTATCATCCTAATATGAGCCAAAAACAATATTCAGGGCAGGGGAACATATTTTTGGAAAAATAAAGTACATATATATCATTTGCAGAAATATTTGGAGGGACATAAACTATGCTCTGCACCAAACCATTTAGAAATTCATTATAACAAAAGATCTCATAAAAAAAATGCACCTCATAAGAACACAAAATAAAAATAAGAAAAAACAACAGGAACATACCGGCCCACTTTTTCCTCTAGCTTTGTTCACAATTAGCTCATAGAAGCTATGTTGCTGTTATACACATGGAAACATATAAATAAGTCAGCACATATCCTTTGGTCAAAATAATGTTAAGTTAGCACATAGCTTATAAACACACAGCACACTACACTGACAAACAAGATAGCAAGTTGTACACAGACTTTCTGAATTAAAACCAATTAAAAGTACATACATGAGGAATGATAAGGTCCTCTTTTACATATAACAAATTTTCTACAGATGTTGTTCGAATCTCTCGAAATTCAGGAGCAAGTTGCTGTTGAACTGCTCGAAGAAACTCCCCTATGCTGTCACCTTTGCGTACCTGAATCATAGTATAAAATAATAAAGACATCAAGTTATAAGATCATACATAGTAAAGGCATTTTCAGGAACTCGAAAAGTTGAGGCATGATGCCTTTACTTGCCTGGATCACACGCCTGTGGCCAGTTCCATCCCAGTAGCTGTACGTGATTTCAAGAGGTTCATCTGATTCCCAAAAATAACTTAATTAAGCATAAACTTTTAAATGGTTATGGGTTTTCTGCATCAGCTAATTTGTATGCCAAGAGGGAAAACAAGCATAATTTTCCATATTAATATATAATCATATTGCAATTCCTATACATCTTAAACCTTTATTAGCATTGTTTCCAAAAGAGTACAAAAGACAACGGAAATATAGACGCAGCAGACTCACTTCGAATTTGCTCCTGCTCACGAAGCCACTGTTTCCGCAACCTTTCACGCTCTGCTTGCTCTTCAGCCTCTCGCTCACTGAACAGGAATCCTCAGCACTCCTATGCCCGAACGTTAGGGCAACAACCAATAAAGAAAGGACAGGGGTACTAGGGAATGGGGTGAGAAAGAATAAGATAAAGGGAAAAAGAAGAGATGCCACACACACCTGTCAGGTAGAAAGCCAGTTTCAACAGTAGGGTCTTTACCAAGTTTACCACGCCTTAACCTATTAGCCTCCAGATTATCTGGCAGCAGCATAGCAAGGTTCAACGTCATTTTGATGTGTTCTATATAAATCATTGATAGATGAACATTCACAGTTCTCTATTCAAACCCCTTGGTAACATAAAGCTACATTAATAAATGAAGAAAAACTATAATTTGAAACTGCAAAGGAAATCGCAGATGTAAAGCGAAGTAATTTAGTGCTTGTGTATGGATAAGCGTTTGCAAAACAGATTTTGAATGAATTGATCACACAAAACTGATTTTGGTTAGCTGAAATCACGGTTACAGCATGAAAAAAACTGGAAGCAAGTCGCCTAGCCTTCAACATGTAAAATCTGAATGGTCTTTTGCAAAAGTGAAGCCAATCCAAACATGCTAAAAATTGATAATAAAATGATCTGATATATATTGTGATGTTTTGATATTAGCAGTAAGCTAGTGATAAAACTCCAGAAGTGTTGCTCCAATGCAAAAGATACCTTTAACCCAATTAATTCCGGACCCCATAGTCAAATCCTCACAGTAAAATAAACATGTGATCATCTACCTAAAATCATATCAACTAGTATTTCAACATGATTTTGGAGGATCAAACATGAATCCAAACATGCACTTACCATGACGTGGTTCCTCCTCCTCTTGGAGTTCACTGTCAATATCCTCAGCAAAGGACAGCCGAGAATTGCCCTTGATCTTCCTCTTTTTACGCTTTTCTAATTGAAGCTCCTCCTCTCTGTTTGAAGATTTTGAATAAGTAACAAATATTGTAGAAAAAAGAAAAAAAAATGTGGAGAAGACGAACTCTTGCTGTTGCTTCTGAAGTTTCTCCTTCTCTTCCTCCTCTATTTTGCTCTGAATATTAACCCTCTACAATTAACACATAAAGAACAAACATATCATCAGCCACACCACAGCATAGCATGTAAAAGTAAAGTTAAGAAAACTTTGGCATACCTTCTCTACATACTGCTCTCTGGTGACCAAACCCACGGTTTCTTTCTTGAAGGCGGTCTCTAAAATCTGAAAAAGCAAGAAAAGTTAAGATGATTGTAAAGCGGAACCCTAGAAGAAGAGAAGATAGAAATTGAAGGAAAGTGTTACCTCGGAAGTGCTGGAACCGAATTGGAGGAGACCGGGTTGGCCCTTGGCGGAGGCAGACTTGGTTTTGAGTTCTTGGATTTTTCGCCGCTCCGCTTCTCTCTGCTTCTCCAACCGTCGAATCCTCACCGCGTCTTGGGCGGTACCCACGTACCCGTCACCCATACCCGACATCTTCTTCTTCTCTCTTCAACTCAAACACCAACACAATACAGATTTTGTTTGAAGAGCCGTGAGCGAATATATATTTCCCTCACTATTGGTCTGGGCTTCAGTTTAACATTCGGCCCAAAATATTACAAAAAGCCCAATTCTAACTCGAAAAATGTTTTTAAGTTATATATAATTCCTTAGACAAAAATTTATTAAAGTCCTACCATCATTGTCTGGGATGATAGGCATGTATTCTCCGTATAAATATTATAACTATATTTTTTGATGAAAAAAAATAGATGTTTAAATTTTTTTAACACTTTAACTATTATTTGATCTGAAAGAAATTCATATATTAATTTAAATTAAATTTATATATTAAGAAGTTATATGCATTAAACTGTATTTTTGGACTTCATTCTTTATAAATTTCGTATTCGTTGTAAAAATGAATTTTTTTAAGTTAAATAACATACAAACAAATTATATATACTATTCTAAAAATGATTTTAAAACATTTATATAAATTTTTGTTGAACTAAAAGTGAATGGGCTTTGGGGGAACAAAATGTTATTGAGATTTTGAAATATTTATATAATTCTTTTTGGCTGTATCTAAAATGATGAAAATGTTTTTTTATTAATTTTTGTTTAAAACTTTAAAAAATATATCCCTTTCCACTCCTCGACACTCATAATTCCTAAAATTTCATTTTCTTATGATTTCATTGAGATTATTTTAGACTATAAAATAACAAAATTTTAATATTTTATACATATTATATTACATGAAAATTGCACTGAAAATAAATATAATGATTAAAACTACTCAATTTAAAATATATTTTCGAATCTGAAAATAAGTTTTAACATCCTTAATTTAAAATACAATTTCAAAAGAGTCCATTTAAAAATGGGATGTTTAAGAATAAAAAATAATGATAGTTTGATAAAAAAAACAGATAACCCTTAAAAATAATTATATTTTAATATTATAATAATAATTTAAATTTATTTTTATTAAATTATTTTATAATTATTATATTAATAAAAATAGGTTATTTCGATAATTATATACTTGTTTATTAGTTGTAAAAAACATGACTTCCCTTAAAAATATATTTTCAGAACAGTCAATATGAGTTTCAGAAGATGTGAATATGTTTTAATAAACGGTAAAATAGGAATTATATTAATTCCGGGTGCAGGAAGAAACAGTTTTTTTTTTTAACGAATAAATGGGCTTTGTGGAACAAAATGTTATTGAAGCCCAGTCCACGAACTCTTGATGATTTAGGTTTCCTACATAAAACCCTAATACTTGAGCAAAACCGCGACATTCAGATCTGCTTCTCCTTGCGGGAAACCTAGGAAGCGGCAAGCATGGTGAGTTTCTATCGCACGGTCGTCGCTTATTTGTCTGATTTTTCTGTTTCTCATCGTTGCGATTGCATTTGCAGGCAGACGTTGAGATCGATGTCGCAGCAGCAGGGCAGCCGAAGAAGAGGACGTTCAAGAAGTTCAGTTTCAGAGGCGTGGATCTCGACGCGCTTCTTGACATGTCCACCGATGAGCTCGTAAAGCTCTTCAGTGCTCGCGCTCGCAGAAGGTTCCAGAGAGGCCTTACCAGAAAACCTATGGCCTTGATTAAGAAGCTACGTAAAGCGGTACTGATTTCTGTTCTTTCTTTTCCTTTTTGATGTTGGACTTATTCGGGTTTGGTGCTTTCAATTAGCATTGCACACAAATTTAGTGTGTTGTCAATAGTGCATCCAAAATTGATTTTGGGTGAAATGGTTTCTCAATATTGGTTTAGGTTGAAATTGATTTATGTTTTTATAATTTTAACCGCACAGCAAAGTTGTTGTTAATCTTATTTAAATTTTTTATCCAAGTCGAAAAGTATTTCTTTTATCACTTCTAGTCAACCAAACATAATTCATAATGAAATCGATTTACTTATTTACATTCCTGCAAATGTGGAAACTAGACTATTTGGTTTAGGGCACGGGATAGACAGGGCAAGGATGGAAACTTTTGACAACTGTTTTCAGAAACTAAATATTTGTTTATGAAATTAAGCTTTTAATGCACATGAAATTCAATTTAATATTCTCACCGTTAAACCAAATACTGTAAAACAATCTGTCTGTTAATTCTTTTTTTATCAACTACAGAGACTCGATAGAAACCAAGACAATATTGTGGCAAGAATAGAGAGAAATTGTTAATTAAAATTGAAGATTTAATTCTATATATATTTGATAATCTGTGCTCATTTTCATTTACATAATGACATTTGTTTTGCGATGTGTGATATTAGGTTTAACTGTAGGAATTGAATTGATTGTGGTGATATTAACCTTTGTGTGTCACAGAAAAGGGAAGCTCCAGCAGGTGAGAAGCCAGAACCAGTGCGCACCCACCTCCGCAACATGATCATTGTGCCTGAGATGATTGGTAGCATCATTGGAGTATACAATGGCAAGACCTTTAACCAGGTTGAAATCAAACCTGAGATGATTGGGCATTATTTGGCCGAGTTTTCGATCTCCTACAAGCCAGTTAAGCACGGGAGACCTGGTATTGGTGCTACTCACTCATCCAGGTTTATTCCTCTTAAGTGAGAACTTTTTTGGGAAACTTCAGTTTAGTTTGTAGTTGAAGAAAACCAACTCTTATCAGATATTTTGTTTGTTTTACCGTTTTTTTTTATTTCAGTTTCTTTGACTGATCTTGATTTAATTTTATAATTTCAATATTTTAGTTTCTTAATTGTTTCAAATTACTTTATCATGGATGCCTTAGCTGAAGCTATGCATATTTATTGAACTTGGACTCCCCTTGTTATCGAATTTAGAACATAAATGGATTATTTAAATTTATTTTTGTTTACTATTTGCGTTTTGATTAGGAAGATTTATATTCAAATGATTAAAGATAGTCATTTCAAATCATTGACTTCAATTTTTAAATATGAAGTATTATGCAGGAATCAAATTGATATTTTTGTAAATATTATACTTTTAAATTTGTAAATTTTACCGCAAGCAATAATTTTAATATATCAAATTTAAATTCAACAATAGCAAAATAAATTACTGGCATATTTTTAAGAAAATAAGACATATTTTTAGTGAAATTATGGACCAGGCAACAGGCCTATATTTAAATATAAAATAAAATTCATTTGGTATGGTATTATTCAATTTTTAATATCTATTATTCAATTTATCTTACGTTAAGTATTTGGTATGGTATTATTATTCTTATTATTAATTACTATGTAATTTTCGATTGGAAAACGATGCATTCACCAACGAAACCACATTTTAAATGCTGGACATACATATCATAGTCTATGTGTTTTCTTATATTTGTTCTTTATATTATATTTCCTTTCTTCATCCATAATTTTATAAAAATAATTATATTTTATTTAATATAAATAATATTTTTATACACAATAATATCATAAGTAATTATAAATATTTGATACAAGAATAAAATAGATAATTATATTTTATTTTACCAAAATAATATTATTTGATTAATTTTGATACTAAATAATTATAAAAAATATTTATATAATGATAAAGATAGTGATAAAATATTTAAAATTAAATAAGTAATTTAAATTAATTAAACATTATATAAAAATAATTACAAATGATATAAACTGTTTAAGAAAGTTGTTTGACCTATAAAAAGGAATTATAATTCATAACAATTAGTTAAAACTATAAACAAGTATTTAACCACAACAATATAATAATTAATTTATAAAATACTTTTAAAATAAATTATTTCGCTTGCTTATAAGCTTTACTTTTAAAATAAAATATTTCAGTCTAAAAAGTATGCAATAAAAAATTGCTTTAAAATATTAAATGTTAAATCATTCACAACTTAATTTTAAAACGTTAATTACAATCAAGCCTCTATTATTGCAACTACATCTAACTCAAACTCTGACATCTGTGTTATTGTATGACTACGTCTGTGTTATTATATGCATCAACTTAATTAAAAACGTATTTAGGTACCGTTAACTATATAATATAACATAAACCAGTAACCCCTTCAAAACAATAATCAATGCTTATTAAAGGACAATACGGTCATTGTCATATTTTCAAGTTTATTTACGATATTATATATAATATATATCAAAACTATTTCTTGTAAATCTCCTTAAATAACCTAATCATGTGTTCCGACCACTACACATCTTTCATAAAAATACAACGACCAAATATAATCAGATACTTAATGTTTAATGCTTGAATTTTTATTTTTTTTGCATGAACAATTTGAATTATTGATAACTAACTACCAATCTTATTTAATTATGAAACTTAGTTATAATCTTAAGTTTTACTTATTTAGTTTACAAATCAAAGTTTTCAATCAATTTAACTTGTCTCATTTTCAAGCTTAAATAATCAATATAATTTGACTGGAGCTTAGTTTGTAAGTAGTAGATCCGTTACATAAGAAGGAAAAAAATTAGTATGTTAAAAATAATATTGAATATATATATATATATATATAATCATCTTTATTAAATGTTAATATAAATTATTGAAAACTTATTATCACATTACATAAACTTCATCAAAATATATTATCAATGTTAAATTTTTCATTAATTTGATATTTTTAAGTTAATCATAATTACATTATTAATATTTGATCATATGTAATAGAATGAACAATACTAGTTCCCTGTTCAACATTTTTCTAATATCATATTTTTTATTTTAAAAATTATTTTTTTCGTTGATCATTCAACTGTCAGAGTTGTACAGGTGTAACATCGAAACATGTGGAAAGATACATAGATGTGGGGAAGTAAAACACAGTTTTATTGTTTGACTTGGAAGAAAAAAATCAGAAAAAAAAAAAAAACACAACATAATCATACCAATAAAGACACACAAATTGACTCAGTATAACTTGGGCTGAATATAAGGGAACTTAACCCTGGCGAATAAAAAAATTGTATAATTTGACTTAATTTATTATAGGTTAATTGATTAACTTACTAACTCATATTTTTTAATTTTTTAAATAATATATATATAATTATATTATATGAAATAAAAATTTATTAATCTAATTATTTAAGTTATAATATAAATTCTTATTTTTTAAAATGGTACAATATATATAATAGTACTGTGAAGAGATAATAAAACAAGATAATAAAAAAAGTGACTCAAATATAATAATATAATAATATGATGAATAATTAATAATATATTTGAGTAAAAATTTAATTTATAAAAACAATGATAATATAGAATAAAAGTAAAATAAGATAACATCACATATTATTAAAAAACTATAATTATTTTTAAAATTTAAAATAAATAATATTTAAAATTTTAAAATTAATAATAAATTATGGGTTAATCCACGTAATTCAATTCAAACCTGTATAATTCATCGGTTAAGTGAGCCGGGTTTACTCCCGATTAGACCCATATTCACACCTATATAGCAACCCTACGTAGCAACCCTGCATCCTCAACGCAAACCTTAAACCCTACTCCTCACACACTCGCAGACGATGGCTGAAGCTTCCGTTACGCTCGGGGCCAAGGCTTATTCTCTCTCTTCCTCTGCCGTCTGCGCCGTCGCCACCGGTCTCTCTCACGTGCGGATCGACTCAACTGCAATTGATAGACTCTCCTCCTCCAAGGAGACTACCACCACCACGACGCCGTCTTCGTCTGATCAAAGCATCACCGTCCCCGATTTCCTAACCCTAGAGGAATCCCGCGCCTTCCTTCTCGTCCTCCTCAACAGCCTCCTTATCTCCAACGCTCCCTCTCGCATTCCCCTCCTCCTCGCCGAAACCCTCAATTCCAACCCTGGCACTTTCCTATTCGACGACGCTGACCTTGTCACGGAAGATGAACACACGTGCTCCACCCTGCTCGGGGTTTCCGCCATTCTCGACCACCAATCCACCGCGCTTTCCGCGTTCGCTGACGTGGCGGCCGCGTTCTCCTGCGAGGCCTTGAAGGCTGACGTGGCAGCCTTCAATTTGATGGATTCCGGCGATGGACACAACTCCAAGGAGGAGGTTGGCGTTGCCGCGGACTTGAGGGTTCTGCTCAACGGATCCAAGTCGGTTGGTAAAGAGAAGGTTCGGTCCGTCGCGAGGGTTCCCAAAGTTCACGGGAGTGTGAGGGAACATGCTAAGGCCATTCACTCAAGGATGCGTGTTGAGTTGAATTCAGGGGTTAAGAGTGCGGTTGGGAGTGAGGAAGCTGTGTGCACTGTGCTGCTGCCGTTGGCGGCAGCATTGCGTGAACTCGGCGAGTGTAGTTTGGCAGGTGCAAAGAGTAATGTGGAGGGTATTGGTGGTGATGATTTGAAATTGGGTATTGCGGAAATTTTTGGGAAGGACTGCCCCGCTGAGGATGGTTTGAGCAGTGGTTTTAATAAGGCTGTGAACTTCTTTTTGGAAAAGGAGTATGTTAAGTTTGCACACGAGGTGTTTGTGCTGCTGGGGCTTGTGTGGAAAGTTGTGGCATGGGAAGCCGTGACGGCGTTTGCGGTGCTAGAGTCTGCTGAGTTGAATGAGGTGTTTAAAAGTGCTAAGGAAAATGGAGAGAATCCGAAAGTAGAGGCGAACTCGAAAGCAGAGAAGAAGAAGAAGAAAGTTGTTTTGGGGAAAGGGACTAGCTCGATTTTGGCATTGATCAAGGAGAGGTTACAGAGTCGTGGAAAGATGTCTTTGGGGACTTGGGTGACGGATTTTCTATCATTTTTGGATTTGGCCAAACCTGAGTTTAACGAATTTTTATTGAAAGTTAAGGATGTTGTGGAGAGCAATGAAAGCAGAAGATTGCCCAAGATTCCTAAGGTAATTTAAAGTTTTGGGTACCTGTTTGATTTTATTAACTTTGTGCTTTTTGGTGTGTTATAGTCACTGCTTAAGTTTTCCACTCTTTTGTGGTCTAAGAAAAATTATGTCTGGGCATTTTATTGGATAATTTATCTCTTCAATGCACTCTGTGTGCTGCTGTGAGGATTAAATCCTATGAAGCACCAACTCTGACATAACACCGGAACAATTTTGATATGGACATCTGGATAAAATATAGGACGCGCCACCGCTAATATACATAATCAGCGTGACAAAAATCTCAATTGAAAATTAAGATTTATATAATTCACACCATAAAACAAATTTCCAGTTTCCCTTTAACATCCTTCACAGGATCACAATAGAATCTAAATAAGAAACATGTATCTTAATAACTACTTAAGTATTGGGGAATCAAGCCTAAAAAAGGGGAGTCAAGCGTTATTTATAATATAAACATTTTTTTTTATCTTTTGATTTATTTTTTACTTTTTTATTATATTAGTGTCTGGAAGTGTTTAGCCGAGAAGAGGTGGCTACTCACTTTCTTTACTCAAGCTCAAGCCATGTTGAGGAGGTGTCTAAGATGTGTCTGAGTTGAAAAAAGAAAACATTTTTTAATTGTGACACGGTTACACGTGTTGGACGGATGTCCACCAAGTGTGTTGAATAAGTCAGACACGGTGATACATAGGTGTAAGTGCTTCCTAGATTAAATCAGCACCTCATTAAAAGAGCTGGATATTTGATTAGTTGTCGGAAAGTTACATCCTTAGCATTGAGGACTGACCTATGAAATATTAAAGTTTGATTAAATACAGGCCAAGTAATCTAGTAACAGACTTGTTGAAATTGTTATTCTATAATTGAAAATGTATTTTCATGTTTGTACTCATTAACATTTTTCAAGGGAATGGTTTAATTGCTTCCGGTTAGACAGAAAACAATAGAAGTAATATGCATGATTTTCTTTTGTTTGCTAGTGGACATGCTAATAATTGAATAATCATATAGAAGTTTTGTACGGCAGTAATATGCTCTGGGTTGGTCAGGTGGTGCAGGTACTGGGTGTGTATGCTTATGAGAAAAAGTGGAAGGATGTAGATAATAATGCATTTTATAATTTGATAGTGATTTTCGTAAGCCATATTTCACCCATGAGAGTGATAGTCTTCATCGTCCAATCTATACTCTTAAGCCATATTTCGTAAGCCATTTTATAAGTCATTTTGCTCAAGACATTGCTTTGATTGAATCATACATAACCCAATTTGTACTGCTGAACTAATATTCCTTTTTTTTTCTGCTGTTGTGTGTATCTATTGTCTATAGTTAATGGATTTGTTTAATGTTTTTCTGTTTCTGGATGAGATATGTTTGGCGGTAATCATACCTTGAGTTTCACAATATCAGGGGACTCGTGATTTTGCTAAAGAACAAATGACAATTAGAAAGAAAGCTTTTTCAATTATAGAGGAAGTTTTTGAGAGGCATGGTGCGACTGCCTTAGATACTCCTGTTTTTGAATTGCGAGAAACTCTTATGGGAAAATATGGAGAAGATTCAAAGTTGATTTATGATCTTGCCGACCAGGTAAATATGCTTATTACTTGTTATGGCAGAAACTTATCTTTTCTCTGGGTAAGGATATTTTGTGAGAATAAACTTGCACTTTTCAAAATTGTGAGAGCAGTGGATATTTGTCCGTAACACTTTTTCTTGTTCGTATTTCTAATGCTGAATTCAGACATCTGTTTTTAGCAACCACTGTTCGGTTTAACTTCATGCTAATTTATAATCAACTTGTCTGTCTGACAGGGTGGGGAGCTTCTTTCTTTGAGGTACGACTTGACGGTTCCATTTGCTAGGTTTGTGGCTATGAATGGTTTGACATCTTTCAAAAGGTACCAAATAGCTAAGGTTTACAGAAGGGATAACCCATCTAAGGGAAGATACCGTGAATTTTATCAATGCGATTTTGATATTGCTGGTACTCCACCTGAAAAAATGGGCCCAGACTTTGAGGTCGTTAGGATTTTGACTGAACTACTTGATGAGCTGGACATTGGGGAATATGAGGTAAAAGTTTATAATATAATATTCATTCTTTAAAAGTATTGGTTTTCTGAAATTGTAGAACTGACTATTTGTTCACAAATTTAAGTTGAAGCATAATTTATTATTTCATGTTCTGTCAATACTTATTTTGGGTTTGGTTATCATCACAACACATTATCCATGGTTATGCGTAGTGAATGATTTGATAGCTTCAGAAATTAGAATGTGCTTTAGTATACTGAGTTATCAGTTTGGGCAAGGACTAGTATATGTGCTGGGCAGGCTTATCATTCACATTTTTAAATACTCATTTTAGCATCATTGTTGACAGCGTGAGGTCTTTGCTACCTACTGGTTTATGTGCAGTTTGCAATACTCTTACTAAGTGTCAATGGTTTTTACACCACCCACCTAACTTGTGCTTTAGTCTAACTGTTGTCTTGTCATTTATCAGATTACCTGCTAAGTGCTAACTGAAATGATCTTTGCCCTTCTCTTGTAAAATCTGACCTGCTTTACTTACTCCAACTTATTTGCCGTAACTTATCCTTCTAATCTCATTCGTTTGGATGTGACTTGCAATTGACTTTGTTTTCATACTTAATGGTTAAAAATCATTTTATACCTTGTTCAGAATAAGAGTGTCTATGTTTGATCTTTTTCTTGATTTTTTTTTTTTTCAGATAAAGTTGAATCATAGAAAGTTACTGGATGGCATGATGCAGATATGTGGTGTACCTCCGGAAAAGTTTAGGACAATATGTTCAAGCATTGACAAGTTAGACAAGCAGTCTTTTCAACAGATAAAAAAAGAAATGGTAAGGAGACTTTATATTTGCATAAAAGATGCTAGTTGTTTGCATATCTATATGCAATTTATATCTTGTCTTTATATTTTATTTATTCCATTTTTATTCGAATTCATTATATATATAATATTCAAATGGAATAAGAAGATATTGAAAGATCTCTGCCTAAAACTTACCGTTTTCAAATTTTATTTGATAAAAATAAGTTGCTTATTTAAAATCTTTTTAAGAAAAAGTGTTAGGCCCAACTTCTCCTTTCAAGGAGAAGATAGGCGCCGAAAAAAGCTGGATCAAACATAGAAAATTTTATATTTTGCAATATAGTTAACCTACATCTCATCAATTCTTAACGTGTTGGGATCTACTTGAATATGTCTTTTTTCATTAGCATGATTTCTTATCCTGTCTCCTCATATTCGTTGTTTTACTAGTCTAGCTTGTTAAGTGGATTTGTGATTGTTGCATTGCCAGTATGTCTTTTTGTATTTGATATTTGCTTTTGTGCTGGTGAGCTAATTCATAGATGTCATATACTTGTATGTTTGGATAAATACATATATAATTCCATATGCATATTTTGTGTGTTTTGTAATTTGTATTTTTCCATAAAACCAAAAAGAAAATTGTGTTTCTTGATTTATATATCTATAGAACTATATAGGTATCATCCATTGCACTCACTGGCATACGTCATTGAGACTTGTCATATTTTTTTGGTATAACGCTGGTTAAAATTTACATCAACGTTTCATATGTTTGTAATTTAAGTTCATGATTGTGTTATTATGGTAATGTGCTTTTTACTGTGATGCTGTAGGTGGAAGAAAAAGGATTAACTGCTGAGACAGCAGACAGAATTGAAACTTTTGTTAAGGAAAAAGGATCTCCCTTAGCATTATTATCTAAATTTATACAGGAGGGTAGTGATTTCTCCAAACACGAAGGAGCTTCTGAAGCATTAAAGGAACTGGAAATTTTATTTATAGCCCTGGAAAAATCCAAACGCATTGATAAAGTGGTTTTTGACTTGAGTCTTGCTAGAGGTCTGGATTATTATACTGGAGTTATATTTGAAGCTGTTTTCAAAGGAGGCACTCAGGTATTTCTCATGTCTTCTTATCTTCTCTCCATTTTAAAACGTTTCTTCTTTCTTGTCTTTGTCATCCTTTCACGGGCATAAAACATAATGGCAGCTCAGGCATAGTGGGTGTTCCTCGTGTTGCGCATCACAAATTGCAACAAGCTAAACATGTTAATAGTTATTTCTTTTAAATGTGCGGTTGAAACACAAGATGAAATGAAAGATAAAACAGTTTTTTTTATTTTTCTATGTTAAACAACAGAGAAAACTTTCATACTTGTATGAAATGGAATTTAAAATTGAAAGAGTTGATTTATATGAAAAACATTGTTAAATTTAATTAATGAAAGTTAACTCTAAATTATATCAGACTGCAGAAGGATTTCAATTTGTTAGGATGGGAAATTAAAGTGGCGTTTGCTTGTTCTTCTGTTCCATGTTTTCACTTTTTAATTACTAAAATTTCCACCTTGTCAAATACAGGAAACAGAAGTACAATGAAATGCCCCCAACTTTCTATAATGAATTTTAGGTTAAAAATTGTGCATTAAGATATTATGACCGGAATCAGAGCATAAGGATGATTAGGGCTAAGGAGGGAAGATAATGGGCATTAAACTCCATTTATTGGCTATATCTGGGGTCTGTGAATACTTTTGACTTGGGATGTTTGGTTTGGTTATATGTTTGTTGAATCCAAGCAGGAACTGACTAGGTTCTTGATGATTTGGATATTATGCTGTTTGACTTAGAATTTGCACCTGGATTAATGATTTTATTTATTTAATTATTTATTTTTTTATGTGATTTCAAGTTTCAACCCATCTTATTTTTGGGGGGGGGGAGGTCGTGGTGGATTAGGAAGATGATTGCTATTTGCTAGTAAAACCTAGTGAACCTGGTTGTCTGAAACATGATGTTCGACTTAAATATCCAACCACAATTAAACCATTCCTTTTCTTGTTTCAATTTTGATCGACACACTTACTTTGACTTGTAATGTTCTGTGTTTCGGGCCTTGAGAGAGAAGGATATAGTTGTTTACAGGTTCTTATCTTGTAGAATATGTTTGTAGTGTGTACTATATTGTAGGATATATAGCGGTGAACTTTTATTTCTTTCTCGTTAGTGGAGGAGAAACTTAATGCAAGCTGATGCTTTTTGGATGTTAGTAGTAATGCCATTGTAATTCAGTTTATGTTTTATCGTATAGAAAGTTCAGTCAATCAGTACCAAATTTAATTTGAAATTGAAGGGACCCAACTTGGTTTTCTAAAATTTGTCATTCTAAAAGGCTCGAGATATCGAAAAGTAAATTGAAATTCTTCATTCTTTGAAGTGGGATGCCTTTGTAGTTCCTATGGTTTTCATATCTGTGCTTATACTCTGTTCTGTCCGTGTTCCATTTACATTGTTTTAATCGAATCTTTGACTTCTATTGGGTAATGGAAATGTGATTTTAAGCAGGTTGGTTCAATTGCTGCTGGTGGGCGATATGATAATCTTATAGGGATGTTTGGTTCTAAGACAGTGCCGGCAGTTGGTGTAAGTCTGGGAATTGAGAGAGTATTTGCCATAATGGAACAACAACAAAAGGATCAGAACCAGGTAATCAAAATGTTTGATTAGTGATGAGTAACTTTTTTAGTTGCTTGTGTTAAAGAATTTAATATTTTATTATTCGGGTGATCTTGGTTCAGTGAATTTTATTTATAGGGTTTTCCTTGGTTTTTAACTGTTGAGTAATCATGAAAGGCCTAAAAAAGTAAACCATTTGAATGAGCATGTTCACTTTCTAGAAATTAGCTTTATCATTTGTGAACGATTAGTCAATATAAATAGCCAAATATATGCACCCAGTCCGATATAGTGAGCCAACATTCTAACGGGAGTGATATTGATGCATTGGTACAGCACAGTCACGCGATACCCTAATGTAGTACACTATTAAAAATAGTGGGCCAAATTTGATAATTATCAAAAGATCTATTTACTTGTCTTCTTGCATCTACTGAGGACCGATATTTTCTACTAATGACTTGATATGTATGATAACACTTGCAGACTTTTGTGTATAAATAACATCGCTGTTTATGTGGAAACATGTTAATTTTCATCCGTTTGCTGCATTTAATAGTGATAAAACTGATCCCAGTTGTATCCTTTTTTTTACTAGCTTTCACTAAGTTTAGCATTTGTATGTTGTTTTCATGTTGTGAACATCTCGGTTTATTTCATGGCCAAGAAAGTTTGAACGATGACATTGTAGATTTGTTTTCCCTTTTGTAGTATGTCTTAACTTTTAGTGGTTTTGTTAGATGGCTCGTCCAACCAAGACAGAAGTGCTAGTGAGCATATTGGGCAATGATTTAACACTTGCTGCAGAGCTAGCCGGAGAACTGTGGGATGCTGGGGTGAAAGCAGAATTCTTGGTCCATAAAAGAAGAACCAAACACTTTGAATATGCAAAAGAATCAAGGATCCCTTGGATGGTACTTGTTTATGAGCAGGAAGTAAAAGAAAAAGGCGTGCTGCAACTGAAAGATCTCGAGAACAATATTGATATAACGCTTCCTAGAACGGAATTTGTGCAGGAACTTCGGAGACGGTTATACCCTTAAGGCTCCCTGTATTATACGTCGGACTCAACTTTCTAGTTCAACAATCATTTTAACATCAATTTTTTGGAAGTGCAAGTTTAGATGACATTTGATCTGATGTTTCTTCCATGTTCATTTCAGAAAGTTGATTGAAGAAATTATAATTTTTATAAAATATTAAGTTGCGAATCATTCCATTCAAACTTTCTATATTTACCTCAAAACTGATTGTATTACCTTTTTATCTGTTTTTGTTTAGATTCTTAGGTGAGAGAATGGAAACCAAGGTTATTTAATTTAATGGAATAAGAGCGAAAATAAATGAAAAAGTTTGTTAAGTATAATTGATTAAATGAAAAAGGTTGATAAGTGTTTTGTTGGTCATGCAAAAAATGTTTTTTTTTTTTAATGTAAACATTTAATTGAGGACATGGAAAAGATTAGTAGAGAAAATAAAAGGACTTTAATAGATTATGTTAAGAACTTGTTCATGTGAAAGATCGTAGATAAAATTTTTTTATATAATTGATTATGAAAAATGACATAATTAAATATGGTGGTTCAAAATGTGAAGATCTATTTTTTTTGTGTGTGAAATAACTATTGTTGTTGCCCTTTTTTAACTTTAAAATACATCTTATTAAGTAAAAAAATGTTATCATCTTAAAATACTTACTTTTTATTAGTTTTTCGTCAACATTATTGTGGTAATGATTTTTATCGCTATTTTCAGGCTCAACTGAGACTAGAGCTAGACATGAAATGTCATATACAATAAAGTTTACACAAGCTAAGTTACGTTGTTTCAGTTGAATGAGTTGTTTTGAATTGTTCATGGATTACATACTAAATGTCATACAATAAAATATACACATGAAAATCACCTTAAATATACGTTAGAGTGTAAATATTGATTTTAATTTATAACCTACAATGAACTTTGAAGCAAAATATAGTTGTTTAATGAGATTTTTTTTTTTCATTGTGTGTTTCCATCACAGGGTAAAAAGTAAAAAAAAAAATAATCTAAAAATAACAATTAAGTAGAAGCACATAAAAGTTGTATAATCTCTACTTCTTGGAATCACTTACAATATATAATAAATTATGTTATTTTTTTTAACACTGTGTGCTCCTAAACATGCAGGACAAATCTTTTTACTTAATAAATTAGGTCTTGATAATTATAGGTATTATAAATATTGTATTGGTTAACAAAAAGTTAGTATTTTGAATTTAATAAAGTAGCATCTACCAAATTAATTTAATTTAAGGAGTTTGAAGTGAAGTAGTCCCACTTACTATAGTAAGTATTACTATATTAGTTATTGGTATTAGTTAATTAATTATATATATATATATATATATATATATATATATATATATATATATATATATATATATATATATATATATATATGTAATTGTGTTGGTGATGGTGTAACGGACCTTCTACTTTTGCTCACAGCTGTTAGACTAGAGTCACAGTCATCATCATCTATCAGGATCACATTCACCCCTTTTCCTTCTCTCTCTGCCTGACTTTGCGACCTTCTCTTCTAACCTTGCAATTCCAAAACCCTAATCCCTTCTCTTCCAAATTGCAATTCATCCTCAACAATGGGTTCCGAACCTTCCACTGTTGTTGGTCTGTATTCAACCTCTTCTCATCCACTTCATTTCCTGTTATCTTTTTACCTTCCTCATTTCCTTCGTTTCCCCCGTTTTTTTGGGTTGCTTCTCTCTGTATATAATCGCTCTCGTGCCACGCTAATTACGACTTTCTGCTTGTTCTTAATATAATCTACACCTTCTATTTGCACTCTATTGCTTTCATATACTTCGAAACTGGGTTAGTTGAACCTGGAGTTGAGCTGTTGTGTATGCTCAATGATGATACAAATGCTTTGTGTTTGGAGTTGTGATTGTGTTGTGTCGCATATGTACGCGCTATATTGTTAACATAAACCAGAAATTTGCGGTATGATAAACAAACAGAAAAAGCAAAAAATAAAATATAAAGGCTTTATTTTAATGAGTTGAGTTTGCTTTGTCTCTATTTATTAGTGAATATCTCTTTTTAATTGTTGTTGCTTGCTGAGATTGTACAGAAAATTCTTTGCTGCTCGGTTAACTTAGCGTGGAAACTTAGGTACCCTGCTCTAGCATATTCTCTGTATATTTAATTTTATCTTGCTGCATCCTGTCCTTCAACTATGTCATTCACCTTATCATTATTAGTTAATAAATATTTTAAATACAAAGATTGAAAGTGTGGAAGTAAAATTAGGAAAAAAAGTGGAGGGTCAAAGTGGTGTTGTAATTCATTATGTTATTATGTTTACAAACTTGTATATACACTTAGTCTAGGCACGTGGTACAAAAGATTGAGATAATGAAAGACGTTCTATGGACAGAAGCAGGAAATTATTTCCTTAGTGTCTAATTGGTTGAAGTGTTTCCATTTGGATTCTAGCGGGGATCTAGTGTCTAAAAATATTTCCTTACTGTTTAAGTGTTTCCGTTTGGATTCTTATTTTTTATAAGGAGTAATTATGAACTTTGTCAGAATCGGTCACATGTCAATAGGGACATGTTATTAATAATTTGAAATTGGGCCACTTGTTTTCGGACTGAAATCAGGTAAGCTTGTTCAATTGTAGTCGAATACAATGCCAGCCTAAAATCATACCAACAAGCCAATAACTATGCTACTAAATTTGACAGTATTTGGATCCACTCATTCTCTTATCAGTTATAGTGGATGTGTGAACTGAGATATTGAGAAGTGACAAACATATACTCAAGAACTGCGGACTTCAATATAATGTTTGTAAATTGATTTGCATATTATTCCTTTTTTCCAACTTGAAAATGTAATGTACCACTGATCATTGATTGTGTTCATCAATTATTGCAACTTTTTTGTGTACTCCTATGTTGTTAAAATTTTTGGTCTACGCATGCAGTTCCTAGGAATTTCAGATTATTGGAAGAACTTGAGAGAGGTGAGAAGGGAATTGGAGATGGAACGGTTAGCTATGGAATGGATGATGCTGATGATATATACATGCAGTCATGGACTGGGACTATTATTGGGCCCCCTGGTGTAAGCTATTCTGTTCTTTGGATAAACTCCGGTACACTTGATGCAATGAAAACCCCTTTGCAAAATTGCGGAACTTATTATTTTTCTAGAAATTTATTAGCCTAAGAGAGTAAGCCACTCTATTTATGTTTTTCTATTTTTATGAAAATACACTTCATCCTGTTGTGTTAGCTAACTTTGGTTTTGTGTGTCTCATTTTGGAACTGGTTAATATTCAATCAGAATGGAGGGTGTGTGGGTTTCAGGGATTTGATTTCCTAGAACATTGCTTTGGCAACTAAATGGTTATGGCCATGTGGGCGGTGGTTTCTTTGGAGTCTTCTTTTTCTATAGCATCATGTAATTCAGAGCTAATATAGTTTAAAATATATAGGTTAATATTTCTAAGTAATTAAATCCATTTTCTCTTTCCAAGATACATTTTTATTCTCAGCCATTGTTTTTATAACTACTAATATTTTATAATTAATTATTAATTAATCCCATACAAAGCATATGTGTACTGCTTTCTATTTGCTATGTAGAACTAGTATCTGCCGAAACAAAATATTGTTTTGATGAATTGGCCATATTGTTCTTTTACCAGACTGTTCATGAAGGGCGTATCTACCAGCTGAAATTATTTTGTGGCAAGGATTATCCTGACAATCCACCATCTGTTAGATTTCAGACTAGGATTAACATGACTTGTGTCAACCAAGAAACTGGAGCGGTAGGTAACATTTTCACTAAGGATTCCTTGTTCGTTTTGTGTTTGAAATTTGATCTTATATCTAAATTACCAGGTTGAGCCACATTTGTTTCCTATGCTTGCTAATTGGCAACGAGAGTGTACAATGGAAGACATTTTGATGCAATTGAAGAAAGAAATGATATCTCCACAAAATCGGAAGCTAGCTCAGCCACCTGAAGGTGTGTCAATCTTATTTCTGATCGTTGTTACTATTGAGCCTTTTATATTATTTCATCTTTATGTTATCTATTGCTGTTTTTCCGTAAATTTAGTTTTTCTATAATATGTATAGACTATGTACAAAGTTAGCGGGGTTTTCATAGTTTCATATCGATATAAGTAATTGGATGTGAATTTTTTGCATCCGTTGGATAATTGATTGAATCTTTGTCGGATATTCCTATCGATAAGTTATTGGATGTGAACTTTATGTATTTGTTGGTTGTCAGAGATTATTGAGAGTGTTGATCCTGTTGCTTTTAATGCCTTGGAAAAGAGATCATTCAAAACATGAAGATGTGAGACTAATTACTTTTGAGCTATTCAGCATTTAACTTCTTAGAATAGTTTGAGAACATAATTTTCAGATGGATTGTTTGTAGACACCTTTTTTGTTACTTCATAGACTGCATTACTTTCGTGTGGGTGTTCCCAGGATTTGATATTTATAGACTTGAATCTTTGATGAGTATATTTCAGTTACATTTTAGCTAAAAATTACAAATTCAGTGCCTAATTTATGATCAGTGCGTAACTGTAAATTGATTTAGATCGGTAATTTACCAAAGAATTACATACCTTTTTTCGTGACATTGCATAATTAAAAGATGTCGTAACACACACTATTGTCATGTATGTCAAATCTTGAGTAGATCAAGTTTACAAATTTCATATAATTAAAAAATTATTTGATATTTGATTACCCCACTTTATTGCATATTTTTAAAATATAAGATAACAGCTACCATTTGAAAGAGTTTGCAACTGCTGTAGGATGTAAATCCAGTCCCATTTAGTTTGCTACAACTCTTGGAGGTAATAAGACATATCACTGAAAAAGTGTAAGAAAATATAGATTAACTGGATAAAAAAATTTAAACTCCTATATTTTAGCTTGTGATGACTAGCTTATAAGCTGGCGTGTTATGATGGTTGCAATTTGTAGTCGATTGTTAGAAGGTTTGCATTTGTCATATGAATCTTAAGAAGTGTATGAGGAAGCTGAATCATGTGTATGGCTTTTAGGCAATGAAGATGGCAGGATTGACCAAAAGGGGCTGGTGCTGAGATGTTGTATCGTGTAATTCAGGTGAGAATCAAAGAATAATAATGTATATAATTATATTCAATACATAATGCCTTTTGTGGGTTAACACATTTATAATTGTAATTATGGACCACTTGCTTATGTAACCTGGAGCAATTAAAGAGCGACTGTCGTAGCCTTGAAAATTTATTGTGAATGGTGTTGAAGCTGATTATACTGCGGATTCTAATTTGGAAGTGTGTATGGATACATTTGTGTAGGTGTGAGCCTTATGCACACTTTGATCCTAATCTTGTGGGATATCATTCAATTTATCATTGAATTGTTTTTCCAACTTCGTTTCCAAAATTCCTGAGTAATCGTGTTAAGCACATGTAGGTGAGACTTCTTGTGGCACAGTTTGTTCTTTTATTTAAAGTGAAATTTAACGTTTGAGTTTGACTGTTTTTTTTACATGAACTGTTAAAAATTTGCCGAAAAGGTTATATTAAGCGTTGGAAACCTTAAAAGGTTATATAGTTCCTTCTATTATTATAAATTAAATTTTATTCTATTGGTTAATTTCCCATCCTTGCCATTTTTGTGGTAACAAGCTTGGAATGACTTTGTTTTCAAAGGAATAATCTTCTACCAAGTAAACCTCAAAGAAGGAGGTATTGGGTGTTATATGTTTCATCTGATTCCAGTTATTCATTTTTACGTATCTAAACCGGTGATTCAACAAAAATAAAAAAATCTTAACTAGAGTTTTGAATATTAGATAAGTTGGTTCCATCGAATAAATTTTGAATGTTTGAAGTGTCTAGTTAAAAGATGCGACAAAATCTATATATAGAAGAATAATTCAAAAAAAAATTGATGAAAATATTGACATAGAATCATTTCATATTGGGTTATTCGAAATATTTAACATATCAGTGTTCTTTTCTTAATAATAAGAAATCGACTTAAAATATTTGTTATTTTTAACTCTATATATAATTGTTATTTGATTTATGGATATTATGAGTTTCCAAGCTTCTATTTAAATATTATGTCATTTATTTCGAACTTATATGTACATAAATACTGGGAATTTATAAAATTGTTTTTTAAAATTATTTTATTAATTCTACTTTTCAATAATAATTAAACCATTGATCTTCTAAATCAATATCTCAGTTAGTTGTCTAATTTAAAAAGTAATTGATCTAAACAATTGAATATAATATAGTTTTATTGGATTTGTATTTATGCCACCTCCTTTAATCAATTAAAACAGTCATACCATTTATTATCATACTCTCCTTTTCTTGACTTATTTATCCATTAGATAGGATTTAGAACAGAATAAACACATGATTCATTAATCTAATTTGCCAGATTTAGAAGATAATAAATGAAAGTTATAAATCTATGTTTTATATACACATCATATTTTGAATCATAACCCACGAAATGCAATAACTGTTTAGAGCAATCATTATCCCAATACATGGGTTCATGAGAATTGAAGTTAAAAGAGAGACAATAATAGTTATGAAATTTTGTGAAATAAGTAATAAGAAACTATATACAGTTGATAAAAGAACACTATTATGAAGTTAAGGAAAAGAGCCAAAAAGTAAGTTTTACCAAAGTCTCTTACAAATAATTCCCATATAAAGAAGGGAAGACAGATATGACAGTGCTTGTATCATGTTTGGGCAACAGTGAGGTCTAGAGCAGAATCAAAGTGACCACTTGTGAAAATGACTTGTTGCATAATTTTTTCAAAAAAATAAAAATTGAAAATTCAAACAATTATATAATATTTACTGTTTTGGCCTTCTTTAAAAACTGTCCTAGTTGTAATTTTCTTGAAGGTATACCATGTCTACATGTGTTTTATTTCCTTCCACTATGTTGTTGGTTGATGGTGTGGAAGACGCAGTACTCTACTGTAGGAATGAACAACCAAGTAAAATTTAACCCATAAAATCATAGGATCTATGGAAAATAAGATTCATATCATAAGATCTTAGTCAGAGATGGAAGATAATTAATTAATACATGTATATTGTATAATTATAATCATATAATAGAATCATTGATATTGCAAGAATAGGATTTGTGAAGATGGATGCAAGGCATGATGAGATGGGGAAGAAGACATTTTTGTCAATTTTTGAGCAAACATTATGAACAATGAGTGACATTATACAAGTCTTTTTGGTCCAAGTCATGATACGAATATGGAGCTGTCTACAGCACTGATTTACAGAAGAAAAAAAGAAAAGGAAAAATGTCCATCCATTCATTCATTTTGTAAACTGCACTTTCTATTTGGGATACACATGGATGCAAGAATTTAGCATTCTTCTTCACAATCACCCACAAAAAAGAAAATAAGATGAATCAGTCTCTGACTTCTCTATAAATCAGATTATGTATAAACTCATATAAATTTATGAAGAAGCTTCCTTCATCTGTACAAATATCACTTTTTCCTCCTATACACAGACCAAATTTTGAGTATTTGAAACTTTGTTATGGGTAGTGCGCTAGATTGATTGCAATTTACATTAATGGAATAAACATGAGTGCGATAGAAATGGCAGTTTCACGTGAATGTATGTGGATACGCTGAATCCAAAGTTATGTAGCTAGCAATAGCAGCATGGGGTGGTTTTCAATAATTTATGTGTATGTTTCCCATCCCATCTTGTAGTTTGTGTGTATGTATGTGTATATGTATACATATATATAGGTCATGATCCCATTTGAGGTAAAGCCATTCACTGATTGAGCATGATAACTCATTCATGCAATTGCAAAACCTTATCTGTAGGGGCAAAATGAAATTGCCTTTTTGGTCGGAAGTTGAGCCAGAAAGCCTAATGTAGAGTTGTAGTGATGTGTGCTTGTGGTGGCACATCACAAGCCTAAGACAAAAACCCTAATAACTTCTCATGTAAACAAAAAAATATTACACAACACAACACAACACATCCATAGTGAATGAAACCAATGCCCCCTTCATTATTGAATCTTGAGGTGACCTTCCTTCTCTCTTCCAATGCTCTTTCCTTTTTCTTTTTCCTTTGATTGAACACCAATGCACCCTCCTCACCAATGAGGTACTGCACCACCCACCATGTGTGTTTCTGGTTGTGCTTTCTGTGGTGTGAGAGAGAAAGAAACTTAAACAACACGTAGTGTTTTCTAGGGTGTTTTATGGATATATTAATGGTCAATCATTGAAACAAACCGTGATTATTTTCACCTTTTTTTTTTTGTTTTTTTTTTTTTACTCTTTGAGAAAAGAGAAGACATGCATTCAATGTGTCATTTTTCATACAACGACTTGACCATGTATGAAGATTGTGCTTAGACGTGTTTGAAGGAGTTCTGTCTCTATTTAGTCAATATTATGGGACCTTGCTTGATACGTAGACATCAATCAACTTCTTCTTATTCAACTACAAAGCTTATATATTTATTGAACATAAAGTTCAACTACTTTGGTTAATCTGAAACACTGCCAATCTTTCTACAGAGAGAAAAATCGACCTCATGAGTGTTTGGAGCAAACTTTATGACAATTTCACGGATTCATATGATATGAATGCAAGACGTAAGATTGAGATCCCAAAGCCATATAATTGACTATGAATTAAGTTTGCAGAATTTATAATATATACATTGAATAGTTAAAGGTGATGAAATTTTTAAGTGGTTCAATTAATCTAAACAGTTGGTGTTAAATGAATTCCTTGTTTTTAAATAATTTAATTTTAATTAAATCAAAATAAAATCGATAAAATGAGAAAATTAATTTTTAAATCGAATCGATTTTAATAAAAAAATTAATTTTTTTAATATAATTTTTTTATAAAAAATTATATATATATATATATATATATTATTTTATTAATTATCTCAATTTTAAATAATAATTATTTTATTATATTTTTATTTTATTTTAATAATTATTTATCTTATATTCTTTAATATATTTTATATTTATAATTATTATTATAATTTACGATTATATTAAACTTTTATTATTATTATTATTATTAAATCTATTATATATTTATTATATTATAAACATATTATTTTATTAAATTTAATTGGATTTTTATTAAAGTTTTAAACATGTATATTCACTCCCTCATGAAAAAGGAAAATATTTTTTTAAATTTATCTTAATTCAAAAGAAACTCCAAAAATAGATGAAGTGTGCGAAAAACAAAAAAATTCAAGAATTTGTAAATATGATTTCAATTCAAAAATATAGATATAAATGATCATAATCCTAAAAAAAATAATTTAAAAAAAGAAAGAAAAGAAACAGTACTTAAAATTTCAGGGATAAAATATTCATTGGAACGTTGACTGACCAATCCGATCACCATATACAAATTCACGAAGACCGTCACTATTCACCCTTTGAAGGTTGACTTGAGGCAGTAAAGAAAAAAATGGAGACTGGTTTTTGTGGGGATGAAAAACATGGAAATAGCATAAATTTCAGTGGAAAAGTTATATACTGTATGGGGTGTTGAATTTGATTATTGGAAAATGAATGAAATGGTTGTATAATTAAACGAAAATGTAGCCAGACAAAGCACAAAAATTCCACTTTCGTATGTTGTTGGGGGGTTCCAACATAAAAAGAAATCTAGGCCATTAATTGATGGTGTTTTATATATTTTGTTCTTATGTGGGGAATACTTAAATTTTCTTATTGCCCGACAAGTTAAAAGAAGACAAAATAATTGAAGTTGTTTTGGTGGTTCGCTTCTCTTCTTTTCATGCTATCTTTCATTGGTGGAAATTCCAATACCTAATCAAACTTTTCCATCAAACACAAGCACACACGAATCATACATCAAGTTTCACTTACACAATTCTTCATTATCTCTCATTATACATGTTTGACTTCATTTTTTTTTAGATTTTAAAAACTATTATGATAATATATATATTTTTTATAATAAGTTTAAAAAACTATTTAATAATAACTTTAATTCAAAAACTATTTCAAATAAAAAAAAAACATTGATGAAAAAA